ACATGGTGTCATCTCAACAGGGCAACACCAAAGACCAAACCAAACCCCCCAAAAATATAGATTGACATTATGGTGTCATACATCTATCAAACTCATCAAGCATCCCTCCCATCTTTTCTATCTTACTTAAAGCAGCATCCATCCATCAACCCGTCCAATCCTACATGCTGCTCCTGAACCTACCATGGGGCATGTATGATTCGATAGCAACATGTGATGCGGAGAGAAGGACTTGCTCCATGCGTCAGGACAAGGCCTAGAGCTAGAGGGACAGAGAATGACAAGGGGTCACTGCTTCCTCCCCTGGCTGGGTCTTTTGTTTCCCTAGCCTTCTTTTGTGGGCCTACAAGAAACCTACAACTTATAGTAGTGGTAGTAGCTGGTACAAGTGCATCTAGTAGCAAGCATCTTGTCACTCTCCTCTAGTCATCTCCCTCTCGCACATTACACATCAAACAGAGCAAGTGAGCTTGACAGAAACACCCCTCTTTTGCACATTCGGGACATCAATGTATCTGCCGGATATGAATGAAGATAGCAGATGGACCACGTGGATCCAGTTTGCTACCCAACAACCAACAATAAAGGCACTGCACAACAATTGATCGTGGCACCGGTTACATACATGCCAGCACCCATACAGAACCGAGACTGCACGACATCAAATGTTCTGATTCTGATACATTAAAAGGATTTAAGCATTGGTACTAGTCATGTGAGCTCAACAGCCAGTTGGAACTTGAATGTTTTCAGTCTACATGCAGTTGAAACAAGGAATGGGGGTAAGTTGATAATTTCCAATGATGTACTTGTCAACCAAAGAATCTCAGCTCATGTCTTCACAGTTGCGACTTCCGCTGTCATCAGTGTAGAAATAATTGCCCTGCTAACAAAAGAAAACATGCAACCTTTGAAATCTATTTTGATATCAGCCAAACCTGATTAAAAAAGATATGATCATGGGGACAATTATTTAAGAGGACATTGTTTCAGTACAGTAATTATGGACAAACCGGCAAGCACAAGACTAAAAATATATATCCTCATTTATGATTGCATTTCATTTAGTTTTAAGCTTCACTAGAATCTTCTAAAAAATTAAAGATTGAATTACACATTCAAGAGAAAAAAATTAGTCGTGAGAATAAGCAGAAGGCAACTGAGTTTACAAAAGCAAACATGCTGAACAGTTAGTTTATGCCAGAAATTTAAAGAGTTCAGTACAAAGCACTCCCTTTGTTTTTATTTACTCTGCATATTAGCTTCGTTGTAAGTCAAACTTTATGGGAAATAATATGAATGAACTTTTACAATAACAAGTACTACCTCCGTTCACAAATATAAGATGTTTTGGATATTTCAATAAATATATATATATGACCTACATACGGACTGAAATGAGTGAACAAACACACTAAAACGTGCCTATAAACATCCGATTCACAAGAAAGTTAGACCATTTTATATTTGCGAACGGAGGAAGTATATATGATGCAAAAATATATTCAATGATAAATCTAATGGCATTGAAGATGTTAATAAATTTTCCTATAAACTTAGTCAAAGTTTATAAATTTGACTTAAGACAAAGCTAATACGTGGAGTAAATAAAAAACAGAGGGAGTATTATACAAGTACAGAGTAACTCCATACTTTTCACACCGTATGTTCATCTTCATGGTAAAAAAGGTCCGAGTAACTGTACATGTCATTTATCATGGGCATCAACCACCATTTAAAAAAAAACATAATCTTGTGCCTCTAGGTCTGTGCGCATGGGCAAGCTTGGCCTTTATTGGAAATTTGGTGCCTCTAGGTATGTGCACATAACTATGCAAGTCACTGATTCCAAGTAACTAAAACTGCATGAATAGCTAACCAATACATCATATTTTAGACAATGCTTTCATAATTGCGACACGAGAATTACAAAAAAGAACCTTGGGAAGTTCTAAACAAACATGAATCCACGTACTAACAGTTTTTGGTTGCTTACGCCTAATATCACATGCTGACAACCTTTTTTTGTTTTAAGGCTACATGCTAATTTAAGCACAAAAGAAATAAAAAGTGAATTGGCATAGAAAACATATTGCCATATCCCATGAACTATCAAGCCAGCTAAGGGCACAACCATACATCGCACACAGTGCAAATACAAACAATTGTAGCACAGGCCTGCAATATCTGGAAAAAAATACTCCCTCCGTTCCTAAATACATACGGATGTATATAGACATAGTTTAGAGTGTAGATTCACTCATTTTGCTCCGCACGTAGTCTATATTGGAATCTCTAAAAAACACTTATATTTAGAAACGGAGGGAGTATCTTGGAAACTATGGAATGTAAGCACAGATGACAATGGAACAAAACCATATCTCAAGTCTCAAGTCACGTATAATTCAATCAATTCCTACAGGCATATAGTGTCCGATTGCCATTTCACCAATAAACACCAGTTGAAACTACAGAATATCCTATTTATCTTCAGTTCACCATTGACTGGTTTGGTCAAATGAAATCACAACTTATGAAGTTATAATAGTTCTTGACCTTGATTTCCAACTAGTGATGTGTTGATGGTAACATAACATGTCACTATTTTATCAAATTACTAAATGGCAGTAAATCATATTCAGGAGTGACTGACACAGAACAAAAGAAAAAGAAGACCATTTGTTTCACTAGAGAATTGATGTTGAACCGGGTACTCTAAGAAACTCATTCCAAGAACTTCTATTTCAAGGATTGAATTGAAGCTTAACC